TGGAACTGCATTGGTGTGGCGGGTTCCGGCAGGGGCCTATGAGTTTGTCGCTGTTGGCCCCGGGGGGTCACTGCATGTGGTCGCTGGTGGGGATTTTCCGGTTCTCCCCTGTGGTCCGATCTGGGGGGTGGGTGAGTGGTTTGTCCTGTGTGGGTGGCCCTGGGGGCTCCACGGTCGGGGTCCCTCCTGGGGTCTTGGGCTCTGGTCCCCCCTTTTTTGTCTGCCTCTGGTCTTGGGGGTCAGGTCTCTTCTGCTTCACGGTTACTATTAAATGTTCTATTAGAGAAGCCTTATACACTTATGCATGCTCACAACAACACACAAATAGATGCAGGGATGTTTATGTAGAATTTATATGTAGATATATAGATATGTATGTGAATGTATATTCATGTGTATGTATGTATGTATATAGGCGTAGGTATGGGTATATATATTTATGGAAACTTACTGCAAAGCCATGAATATTTTAAGTTCTTTATACATATGTATTTTGTTGCTGTGTTTTGTCATGTTCTTTGCAGGTGAACAGACAGTGGCCGGGTGTTTTGCCGTGTGCTCTCTTTGTGTATATGTCTTATATTTTGGAGTCTTACTTTGTCTTTTCTTTCTTTCTATCCTATTAAAAAAAAAAACCTACACTAGATAATCACTAGAATAAATATTTCATAATAATGGTGTGGAGAGGATGGATTTAAGGGGAGAAGGGAGGCCATCACAAAAAAAAAAAAAAGAAAAAAAAAGTTTAATTTTTGTTTTGTGATTTATACATCTGTGGGTTAGAAAAAGTTGAACTAAAGGCAGTAGCTCTTTTTGTGTCCTTTTTATGATTTTTCAACTGAGTTCACTTTAACAAATTATTTAATAGTCATTAAAGTGAAAACAGAACACCATTTATTTATTTATTCATTTTTTAATCTTCACTGATTAAAAAAAATAATGTATATATATATATATATATATATATATATATATATATATATATATATGGTTTTTATACTTTATATATATATTTTTTTTATAATTTCCACCCTCTATCCCAGACCCGTCCTGGTCCGCCCGTCTGCCAAGATCAGGGTTTGGCTTTCATGAGCAGGCGAGGCTGGGGTCCGGGCAGCGACCTTTTGCAAGTCAGCAGCTCATATGATCCTCTGTGGTGACCAGCGGAGCTCGGAGCCCGCGGAGCCCGCAAGGCCAGCCCAGAGCCCGAACCCCAAGTCAGCAGCATGGAGGATCTTCCAGGGTGACCAGCAGAGCTCGGAGCTGGGGAGATGACGCCTTGCATGGCCTGAGGGAGAGCTCCGGTGTAGAGGACCGGGGGGACTTGCAGAGCTCCATCTAGCTCGCCCTGAATTTTGTCGTCAGTCACCAAGCACAAAAAACGCCTGCACTTCAGCATTAGACCACGGTGTTGTCATTATTGTTTTTGAAGTCTTTAATATAGGTCCAGCTGCTCATCGAGTTCGAACACCGGTAATTGCAAATGGCGGATCGAATGTTTTTAAATTTCCCAAACAGCCAGTGACTCCACCCCCTGACCAATCAGTGACCGACAGTGTTCTGAGGCCACATTTTGGTACCTGCTCGGCCTGGTTGGTACCACAGAGAAAAGGGTTCTGAAAAAAGGGAACCGGTTCTACGTACCATTATTGAAAAGGAGTGAGTTCAGTCCCTCACTCAAATAAGATAATCACAGTCCTACCTTTTCCAACACACACACACACACACACACGCACACACACACACACACACACACACACACACAGAGGTTTGTTTTGCTATCTTTGTGGGGAATTTGCATTGACCCATTAATTTTTCATTAATTTCTATAGCCTAACCCTGACCTTCACCCTAAACCTAACCATTACCAGTACATACCATAATTCACACCTTATTCCTAAATCTAAACCCTAACCCACCAATGGCACTTCTTCTTATGGGGCCTGGGCTTTGGGCACCATAAGTTGGTCCTCACAGTGTAGTAGTATAAGTTAGAAAAGTGGGCCTTATAAAGTAACATAAACAAAGACACACACACCCCTTTTGCTGCTCCTTCACATCCACCGCCATCCCCTCACATCTCTTTGTCCTGGTATTCTGGGACAAATGCACATCTTAACGGCATGACCTTGCTTTTATTTTTAAAATCGCAGAAAAATAATCTGCAACCTTAATAAATAATAATTTCATAGCCTTACCATTACTGAAAGACTTTTTATGTTTGACGAGAATGAGGCTGACCTGGTACAATGCTACTGTGGTAGCTTTACGTTAGCTGTTGGGCCAGCCAGGTGAAGATCATTTGCCTCACTACAAGCTGTTTTTTCAGCTCCTGAATTTCTGGGCTTGTGGAGCCCTGGATAGAATCCCGGCTGGGGGGCTTTTCTGGGTGGAGTTTGCATGTTCTCTCCATGCATGCATGGGTTTTCTCTGGGTACTCTAGTTTTCTTCCACAGATCAAAAACATGAATTTTAGACTATTTGGTAACTCTAAATTGTCCATAGATGTGAGTGAAAGTGTGAATGGTTGTTTGTGTCTTTTGTCTTTATGTGGTCCTGTGATGGACATTCACCTGTCCGGGATGTCCCCTGTCCTATGCACAGTGACTGCTGCGATCCGGAAGGCTTCATCAGTCAAGGAAACACACAACAAAACTGATTCTTCCTCTAACAGCTTACTCCAAAGTGGAACAAACCAGTTCTGCTTTGACAATATGGTCTCTTTGGTACACCCCTCCTCCATTGCCGGCCCTCTTCCTTGTTGACAGTCTTGTCAAACTGGTTGAAAACAACAAAGTCCATGCTCAATAATCCAGGTATAAAATCCAACATTTTTCAGTCAGGTCATCCCAACAGTTTCTTTTTTTGTGCTGAAACATTTCGTCTTCAATCTGGAAGGCTTCATCAGTCAAGGAAACACACAATAAAACTGATTCTTCGCCCAACAGCTTACTCCAAAGTGGAACAAACCAGTTCTGCTTGTGATAAGATGGTCTGTTTGGTACACCCCCTCCTCCATTGCCGGCCCTCTCCCTTGTTGACAGTCTTGTCAAACTGGTTGAAAACAACAAAGTCCATGCTCAATAATCCAGGTATAAAATCCAACATTTTTCAGTCAGGTCATCCCAACAGTTTCTTTTTTTGTCTGAAACATTTCGTCTTTGATCTGGAAGGCTTCATCAGTCAAGGAAACGCACAATAAAACTGATTCTTCGCCCAGCAGCTTACTCCAAAGTGGAACAAACCAGTTCTGCTTGTGATAAGATGGTCTCTTTGGTACACCCCCTCCTCCATTGCCGGCCCTCTTCCTTGTTGACAGTCTTGTCAAACTGATTGAAAACAACAAAGTCCATGCTCAATAATCCAGGTATAAAATCCAACATTTTTCAGTCAGGTCATCTGGACAGTTTCTTTTTTTGTGCTGAAACATTTTGCCTTCGATCTGGAAGGCTTCATCAGTCAAGGAAACACACAATAAAACTGATTCTTCCCCCAACAGCTTACTCCAAAGTGGAA